GTTACTATTATTATAGATTTCTAGAGCTAATGCTCCTATTATTGTCATGAATTATCATTATAAATATTATCATTGATACTATCACCACTAATATTAATATATTGCTGTTGTTGTTGTGATTGTTGGGATAATTAATACTTCACTAAAACTATACTGATACTACCGGACTGTCCCTATCCATACTTGCATCACAGAAAGGATCTCATGTCCCTACATACACCACTTTATCGATGACTGTACTGGGCTGTTTTGTATTTTGTTGTTTTTGTTTTGTTTTTGTGCTTTTTCTCTCTTATGTATTGTATATGTGTCTCACTACCTTGTATGTATTATTCCTTTGTTAATTTGCAATAATAAAAAAAAAAAAAAAAAAAAAAAAAAAAAAAAAAAGGTTAGATTGGGTCCTATGTTGAAACCTAGGCTTCTTGACTCTATTTTAAAGTACCCTTTATGGAAAAAAATGTTCTATACAGCGAGTGACACACAAACCCGCCTTTCCTCACTCACTCACTCACTCGTTTGATTTGCTACAGATGAATAATGTTGGTGTTACAGGGCTTGAATTTCAGCGCGGGATTGCGCGTATTGTGTATAATTTTACTCATTCCCGCAGATGTTGTTCTCACACTCAAAGAGCGGCACATAAAGCCGCCCCTCAGTGCTAAATTGAGATATTTTTAGCTGCTTATTGCGCTTAAACAGTCAAACACAAAATAATTTCAAAATGCCAGTCTTGGTGAGTATTCACGTAAACACAGTCAGTTATGTTTTAAGTGAACGTAAACAGTAGAGAAAGAAAACGCATGTGTAACAGTATAATGGTGTCAGGTCTTAAAGTGACAGTAGCCTAATATTCCTGCTGCCAAATTATAAGATAATATTAAAAATATCTATTGAAATAGATGAAATTTATCTGCAGATGAAATAACTGCAGTGTGCGCTGGAATAAACAGAATGCGTTGGTGTGGATGGTAATACTGTATAGTTATCATTATTGTTCTTGTTGTGAACAGGCCTTTAAAAAATACATTTTGATGTAGAAAGACTACAATTTTATTTGACAAACTTGTTTTATAGGCTATACAACTTCGAAAAATCACATTTTACAATGTAAAAGCAAGCCTTTCCTCAACAAGAAATGTGATTTGACCTTCATCTTCACTCCAATTGCAGCCATTCATTTTCCACCAGTGCAAAGTAAAAATAAAGGATTAAAGTTGTCTTCAAACATGAGCAACAGTGATCTCCAACCATGTAAATATAAGACCTTAAATATTCTACATGTCAAAGTTGATTAAATCCATGTAACTTCATCACTTTATCACATGGGATTCATTTGATCCCCGGCCAAAATATGTCCTATAAAAGTGCAATCAGTGGTGCGTGTGAAAGGAAGGAGACACCAGAGGTTTGATGATCTCAGGCCTGACTCATGTGAGCCCCCTGCTGGCTCATAATTCATTTACATATCTTTGTGTTTCATTCCCATAATTAACAAGCCCAGGGATAATGCCAGTGCAGGCCCATTACGTGCTCCAGCATGTTTACAGATATAATGATATCAACACAGGTAAGAAGTGCTGTTATATTTTACTTGACTTGGGTTTATTCATTTTCCAAATATATTGCTCAATAGTAGTTCCTATTTGATGCCATCCATAGATGAAATTGAAACTTCCTGATCGTGCATTAAAAATGAAGACTGTCCTTTCACAAAACACAAAATGCATTTTTTATTTTCAGGTGAACTCTCCCTTTAATGTACGACCAGGAATTTAATCCAATTTCATTTAAATAGTAGCTCCTTCTTGATGCCATCCATTGATGAAATTGTAATGCGAAGTGCAAAAATGAACACTGTCATTTCATGTTGTTCCAAACCCAAAAGCGGCTGTTTTGTTGTGAAAAACAAGAAAGTGAGATTGGCAATTGTCTCAAATTTGGTTCTTTTTCTCATAAAATAACAGAAGACTTTGAATATAAGGCACTTTCATTGTGTTTTATATTACTTGTATTGTTTTGTCGTGTTTTTTGTCCTTCATGATGCTTGACAGAAATGGTCACTATGAACTGTCACTGCATGCAAAAAAAAAAACAAAAAAAAACAGCATACAGGTTTTGATTTACATGAATATTGGGTTAATTATTCCTTTAAATGTTGCAAAGCTTGCCTTTGGATTGCTGTAATGAAATATTTCAATTAGGATTCATTCGACAAGGCATTATTGATTGAATATGCATGTCATTCTTGGCTGTGACAGCGAGTGTAAGTTTCTGCTTCTTATGGGGAACATTTGACAGACCTGATTATTGTGATTTCTATTCTGAAAAGTGACACGGTAATGACAGCTGAATCATTATCAGCCATGCAAAGGTTGACGCTCTCTTTCCTAATGAGCTGTCTGCCTTCTGAATGGCACAGCACTGTTTCTTCACTCCGTTTGAAAGGTTACGATTCAGGATGTCAGCAACTTCTGTGAGAAACAAGGACAAATGTGGTGCAAAATGAAACGTTTTCATGCAAGCATTGAGGCTAAAAGAGAAAAACAGCATTGGTGCAAAGTTGATAACAAGAGATATTGAATTGAAAAAGTTTTATTTGTCCTGTACAAAAATGGATTGTATTTTTTAACCCATTCCTTTCCATATAGTTAAAGTTCCTCTATTATGCTATTTTAAAAGTTCCTAATTTTGTTTCGGAGTCTAGTACAATAGGTTCACATGCAGACAAGGGCAAAAAACACTTTTATTTTCTCATATTATACACTGTAAACCCCTCCTTACCGAAAGACTCTGCTCTGATCAGGGGCGGAGCTAGACTCTCAGTACAGTGAGGGCGGAGCTTCATCATGGGGCCCTCTGCTACCAAGTCATTTTAAAATTACAAACGTAAAATATCTGATGAATGCATATGTAATAATGTATCACTTGTTGAGCCAAGTAAGCTTATATGTTAAATAAAACACAAAGGCTATCTCGTTCTTTTCAGAGAACAGTCTGTTTTCTTTCGTTTTGAATTGTTCTGTAAAAGTACACATTTCGAGCTTTCTATAGATATATTTCTCAGGTGTGTGAGGCAAGTAGGCCTACTCTGTGTTTCGGTTCATTTATGACTCACAAGACGAGCTCCAGTTCACGCGCCGGCGCCTCCGTGTCGTGATTATCTATTGTCTGCTATATTTACTTCTTATTTATTAAATCCAGGCAATTGGTTGATGAAACATTGATTCAAATTAAGATACATTTAATACAAAACGAAATTTGCCTTAATGAATGGCTTTGTACTTTATGTTTGATGTCTCTGGGAAAATTTTAAAGCAGTCTTTCAGTGCCGCTTTCAGAGCGCTCACGTCCGTAACGGGGAACTGTCACGTAACATTGTTTTTCCCTCATAAATGCGAACACGAAAAATAAGACAAAATTAATATTTTGTTCTGTGGAGAGCCAGCCCTTCTTCATTCGGTGGGTATTACTTTTTGTACTTTTGCCACCTAAAAGTTAAAGGTTTTTTTGTGTCACGTCCGTGTAGTTCCCTCATATTAAATATAAAATGCATGTGTAGACTGATATTTTTCTAATGTCTGGAGTCTGGACTCCTTTATTAAGGAGGATAAACAGACGTTTCAGTATATTGGTATTAAATGTATTTTTACCAAATGTCACGTCCATAACGCTGGAATTGCCCAATTTTAAAGAAATTATCCTCAACTAGTTTTGTGGTGTAGTGTAGGTCTATGTATTTTATAATGTTAACTTCAAACAATAGCCTACTAATAGTAATTTAAAGATGTGGTAGCATTGGATCTGGACGGGAGGGATAACCCTGGGAGTTGGAGTGTGTCACGATTCTGCCTTCTCACTCACATTTCGGTTTCATATCGCATATCAGCCATCATTTCTACTAAAGAAAATGACAAAAAAAATAGTAACGCACTGTAATTTGGATCAGTAATTTTAATCTGATTACTGGTTTGGAAATAGTAACGCGTTATTACTCATCACTGAAAAAAGTTACCGGCATCACTGCTGGCGAGGGCCCCGTTCCTGTCCAGTGACGCAAGATCGGCGGTGTATGAGGGGCCCCTTATTGGCACGGGGCCCTGGGGCGGCCGCACCCAAGCGCCCACGCTATCTCCGCTACTGGCTCTGATTGGTCAGATGGCCCAGTCTGTTGTGATTGGCTCGTGTGGAGTTTCAGCTCCGGAGGCTTCCTCAGTGCTTGATTGGTAATACAACAGGTAAAATGGGGCACTTTAATATCTGAGAATATTGCTGTGCTCATGCAATGTCAGAATTACTGTAATTATTAGTTTCTAATTTGTAAAAAAAATAAAAATAAACAGCATTGAGGATAAAAGAGCTAAATAATATTGGAGCGAACTTGATAACAAGAGATATTGAATTGAATGTACAACAACAGCTCAATGAAATGAGTGATTTAAATATTTATATTTGATTATCTGCATGCTGTGTACGCAAGTGTCACCTTAAAATGAACAACTTTATGGCTCATGGTTATTTTTACTCGCTACTGTATGCCCAGTCATTTCCATATGCAGATTGTACATTCATAACATATTTCAACCTCGTAGCAAACATCATGTTCTAGTGGCTATATTGAGCGCACCGCCCTGAAACACTGTACTTGATCCTTCCATCCTAATTCAAAGGAATAAAGTTACCTATATTAATTAGTAACTGTGTCATGTACCACCTAAATGCAGTGTATTAATTACCACCAGCTCCATCATTTTCATTGTGAAATCTGACATCTCCATTCCTCGACGTTAATCATTACTACAAGTGTGAGAACATCCTTGTAGCGACTCATGTCACAGGTTCACAGGTGAATCTGGTCGAGTAGCTACATATGCCATGAAATACAAAGAATATTTTTAAATTAATGCAGACAAGCACTTCTTTAACGAGTTACAAAGCCACGTGGCAACCGTCCCGCAGGGTGTTATAAATAGCCGGGTCAAGAGCCCTGTTTACACGGGCCAGTTAAGTTACATTGACACTTATATGAGCTGCTTCTGAAGCCAGATGCTCATTTAACAGAGAACAGTCAGACGGGTAACATGTATTTTTTATTTCATTATTGCAGAGAAATACTCTTTTATGTTGACAGGACCGCAGGATTGGATGCTGTGCACTTATGAAATTGCAATTAATATAGCGGTAAACACGATTATTGCTTTTAAATATAGCATGAAAGAACAATCTAGTTATGCTATTTTAGAATTAATCACGGAAGCAATTTCATGTGGTATTGTTTTTGCCTGATAAGTGATGATTCCCTGCTAAATGTATTCTATAAAATGTGCAAATGTTCCAAATAGTATTTTTTTTTTGGTCTGCATTTGTTTTGTACTGTGTTTATATTTAATTGCCTGCCCTGGTTAAATGAAATAGCTTAATCAAATGCATGCTATTAGATGAGCTATTGTAAACAAATGCACATTTTATGGTTAGTTTATACAAGGGAACATTGCAATCTTGTAAAATCCAATTTCGTTCTTCCACTGACAGCTTCATCTCTGCTTACAGCAGGAGTCTCTATAATAATGGACAAAAACGCAGAGGTGTTAGTATGTGGCTCTTCAATTATGAAGGATGTCTGGGAAATCAGACTGAGGGAGCATCGACAGAAACGACAGCTGGAAGAGGAGAGGGTACGGAAAAGTGCTCTGGAAAGGTGAGGACCTGACCAATCTCTCATTTTACTGCATTTGTCAATCAGAAAAACTCTAAAATGACCAACTCGATATTTATAAAAACAACTTTGTGGCTCAAAAATGTCTTAAAGTGCATCTGAGGCAGTTTGTTGATATATTTTGTTGATGAAAATATTTTTGAACCCTTTGCAAATCATACAGTTTTGTAATATCTATGCTCATACCATGTCAAAATTACTGTAATTATTAGTTTCCAACTTATAAAAATAATATGGGGTTAGAATTGTTGCATTATTCAAATATTTTTTTAAATCAAATTCACAAATAATATATTTTTTTTTACATAATTATGTGTTTTATCATGTGTTAAATGCCTTTAGAAAGCAACCTAGAACCCACCTATATATTCTCTAGTAACAAAGGGAATCGTAATACATGTATTTCATATTTAAAATACTATTTAAAATGCTCTATACATCGTTAGATCCCCGGAGCTGCTCATATGCGTCATTAAAACTGCTTGACTGAAGAAGTGTGAAATGCTGTTGGCAGTTGTGTGCCAGGAATTTCACCAATTACACAAACTCACATGTTTATCACGAGGCTGAATGCTGTTTCTCTGGCATTTTTAAATGGTTTATAAAATATAATACTGTGGCTTGGCTTCCAAATTTTAAACATCTTTTACTGTACCAATTTTATGGGCCTCATACTTCCTATTTGAGCCAGTGCAGATGAATAAAATCACAAAAAATTGATTGGTTAGAGCAAGAGCGTGCTCTGATTGGTCAGTGCAAATGGCTGTTATTTTATTGGCTTAAGGATATGGTGGGTGGAGTCCAATTATTTGTGGATTTGTCTGCACGTCTTGACACTATAAATGTTTCAAAATCCACAAATGCGTGCAGTGATCTACAAATGCACAGCAAGCGATTCACAAATGAATGCCAGGCAGAGTTGTGTTTGCACGCATAAAACACAAATGTAATTTTGATTTTATTTGCAAATCTCATTTTATTAGTTTTTGTGAAACTCTTTACATTCTGAATTTCAATCTATTTATTTGGAATAATGCAACAATTTTAACCCCATAATAAACTCGCATCTTTCTCGAACTCATAATTGCAAGTTGGAGAAATGCACAATGATGCATTTTGAGCGTTGATATAGAAAAGAATAATTTCTGACAAACACAAGAAAAGTTCAGAGAAGAATCTCTGAGTCATCTCATAATTACAGTAACTCTGATATGGCATGAATGCAGCATTTGTATGTTTGATCCCAACTGCCTCTCTGCCTATTCTGTTCTCAGATAATAAGGCCATTCAGAACTAATAATGAGCTTGTGGTCGCTTCAACTTTAATTGCGTTAATATTAATTTTAATAACAACAGCTATCTTTAATTAATCTGTTAAAACAAAAGAAGCTAACTCAAACCACATTTCATAATTAATGAGAAATCATTTTCATTTGTTGTCCGTTCAAATTAAAATTTTCATAGAATCAATCAAGATTGGCAGAGGCGCATGTCCTCCAAGATAAAACCCCCTAAAAGACTGGAGAGAAAAGCAAAGGTTCCTGAAGAATCAACTCTTGATGCACACAAGGCTAAAAAGACGCACCTGGGAAGGCCTCAAGGTTTCCAGAGCAGTCGGATTCAGAGGCAGGTGGACCTGACGAAAACAACCAAAGCCAACAAACTGGCCCTGTTACGTCACCTCAATGAAAGCTACCCGGGATTGATGGTGTGGTCGAAGTCTTGGAAGTTCTTCGATTTTTCTCGAAGAAAATCCCTGTGCATTCGACTGGGGACAGCCATGGAAGTTTCTCAATCTTCAGCCAGGCACTGACGGTAAACCCTGGTTTGATCTTGGGTTTGACACCAACAACAATATGAGCTCCAATGACATGTTTCTGTGGGAGAAGCTCAGCAAAGCATTAGACTCCGAGCTCATTCAACAAGCTCTGGCCAGTACAGGATGGAGGAAGTCTTGGATATTCACTCAGAAGCGAAAAGAGTCTCATGAAGGCACTAAAAACAAAAGTGATAGCAACACATTTTACAACCTGTGGAGGGATCAGAATCAGGAAAGTGCATCAGACTGGCTCGAATCCTGGAAGACAACGAAGCCTGTGAAAGGAGGTGATATCATGCCCGATTCAATTCAGCCCTCAACTAATGAGGAAACACAACCTGAATTACCATGGGAAAATTCTTGGATGTACGTAAAGAAGCAGCTTCATATGAAGTCAAAAACAGGTAATAACCTAGGATGGAGTGAATCTTGGAGGGTTGCAAAAACCATATCACAACAGGAGACGAAATCAATCAAATCTCAAGCGGTGGTGCCTGAGGAACTGCATCCTGACATCTGCAACATGATAATGAATGTGCCTAGAGAGATGAAGCACGCAATTCAGTTTGGTGGGAGGGATGCACCGCCGTCTGATTGGGAAAAATCATGGACGACCATAAAAAATCTTTTGGAGTATAAAGAAGAGATAAATACAGCTGAATGTGGGGAGGTGGAAGTGAAGGTTGAGACACCGAAACCAGACCGTTTAAACCAACAAAGTGAACATGTGAAATTCAACGTACTTGCTTTGCCAAGGATCCAAAAGCGGGGAGAGATGCTCCAGTTCTCAGAGCAAACTGACTGGAAGGATTCTTGGAAGATGCTGAAACGCCAGCGTAGAGAAGAAAGAGCATTGAGGAAACTGAGACTTCCACAATTTTCCTCCACATCACAAACTCTCACTGAATGGGCCAGTTCTTGGAGGTTCACAAACTTACCTCTCAATCAAGACAGCAGTTTATGGCAGCAGGGTTGGTCCACCAATGCTCACCCCAGACCTATTAGAAGAGTGCTAGAAAATGAGGATATCCCGCATAATGGACCAGCAGGGGTTCCTACCTGGGCTGAGTCCTGGAGGACTACGAGACGTCAGCATCTTCTGGCAAGACAAGGGCAAGGTGCATCAACCCAGCCAGTGCGCCAACAGACATACGCAAGATCTGTGGCAGACTGGGAACAATCATGGAAATCATCAACTCATCAGCGCAATCATGATAGACCCTCAATGACCGAGTGGACGGATGCTTGGAGGTTCTCCAGCTTGGAGGATTTCCAGCCTGAACATATCTGGTTTGAGAAATCAATGGAAATCAAAGGCAGAAAGGAACTTCGCAGAGCATCGAATGCATTTAGCAGATCATTCGATTATCAGACCTTCAAAGAACGACATCCCGCGAAAGAGTGGAATGACTCATGGAGGGTTAAGGAGAGGTCTGATGGTCCTGGACTTGCACATCTCATAAAAAAAGAAGTTCTAGATTGGGATAATTCTTGGATGTTTACCGGCACAGAGTTTTACCAAAGACAAGGTGATTGTTATTTGAATTTCCAGGTAACGTCGGATGTCAGTAGCATTGCGATGCTCAAATCCGTCCAGATTGAGAGCAGGTCAGATTGGGGTCGATCATGGAAGATGTCAAACCCACAACCACCAAAGAACATCGCCTCATGGCCCGATGCAAAGCCAAAGTCATTCAGTGCACAAGACGTGATCCTTTGGTCAGAACACAAACACATCTATTATTTACCTTCTGCTTTGGTCAAAGACTTGAAGCTGAAAATCTGGGGCAAGTCCTGGAGGTTCATGAAGATGGACCTTGACTCAAAGCACGGGAACAACTTTTCTGCGGTTGAGGATGAATCTGTGATAATGACAAAGACTGCAACAAAAAGAAAGCACATTTACTCAAGCATAGATCAGCAGAAACCACAACAGAAGAGATGGAGCGATGCGTGTAAAATAGCAAAAACGCAACCACGACCAAGGCGTAATGTTAGATCTGGCAACAAGGAAGATGAAGATGGAAAAGGAAAGTTTGCAGAATGGATGGAATCTTGGAAATTCTCAAATAATTTAAAAAGCCATGAGCCTGCAATGGTGTCTATATCTCTGAGCGCTTGGGAAAACTCCTGGAAGTTTCTGCTTGATCCGTATGTGCCAAAGAATGGCCCAAAAACAAGCAAAAGTCGGTAAGGATTACCGAGCTCAAGAGTACGGCTTTATGTTTTTAAAACTTCTACAGATTCAACCCACAATAAAGTTGTGTAGCAAACATTTTATCTCATCTTTTGTGTCAAAGTACAACAAAACATAATAAATCATTATTTTTGATGCAGTCACACACACACGGCTGTGAACTGTGGCTCTAGTTCAAGTTTCAATGCACATAATTTATTCTTTTTCAAGTCATAAAGAATAATGACTTGACATGCATGTGGTCAAGCACTTTCTAACATAAACACGAATGAAGTGTTTTGACGCAGTACTGAAATCTGCAGTAATACGGCCTGCAAACGACCACACTTATACTGCAAAGATACTACATAATCAAATGAGAAGTGTACTTAACAGAAAAACACAAAACAACAACACAGAAAATACAACATACAAATGTATCATTCAGTGCTGATTTTAAAGACATAAATGACTTCTTAGAATTTTAATGTTAAATTGTTTACTCAAAATGTTAAACATTTATGGAAATACGGTAATACAATATCACCAATTAGTATCATTAGCACTAACAGTAGGATGTTTAATTCATTATAAATCACATATACCCTCACAACACATGGTCTCCCATACTGCCACCTACTGGCATTGAAAAGCATAACATTAGAATCAATCCTTACTGACAAGCATAGATAGTTGATTTATTTTGTAATTAAGCTGGACTTTAACCCAGCTGATCATATTGATTGAAATGGTCACGACATCTTTATTTCCGACAAATTACTTGGCATGCATCAATATTACATTTCCACTATCTCCCTTAATTAACTGATTAGCTAATGATGTGCTCTGGTATCTCTGTTTTTTTCCTGTTCAAACAACTAAAAATGAACGTGAAAAAGTCAAATATGGTTCATGGCAATTACTTCAAGATAATATTTTCTATACTATTAAATGATATCTCAAACCCATCAATTTGGCTTATTGGTTGACAAACTTATATGATTGCTTTTGTTTAGCTCAAATTTATCTTTATTAGCTTTATACCTGAAACAGTGTCTGTCACCGACATGTTGGTGACAGACATAGATCATCTTTCAAGAGTGCAGAACAAATATGGATATTTTCATTAAGTAAGGCATTTCATGCATGGCTATTGTTTACACTGCACAAATTAAACTACTAAATAATGACTAAATGTGCTGATAATTGTCTGGTCTCATTTTTTGTTTTGCATGAGCTCAAGCAAAGATGGAACACATTGGTTTACCATCTGTCCCAGACCTAAAACCCCTATGCTTCTCTAAAAGATGCCCAGAATTCAAGGCAGAATTCTTGAGCTTAATATGACCCAAAAGTTCATAAGGCAACTCCTTGCCATTTCTTTTTTGAAGGCCAATTAAAGACTAATGACTGTTCTTTTCAAAGTCATGAATCTGGACATGCAGTTAAGTCCATAAAAGTATAGTAATTTGAAAAAAACTTGCCAACCTAAAAGTATTTATTAATATTTTGAGTTAGCTTTTATTTTAATATTTCCAGTATGCATTTTAATTTGAGTTACAATGGTTTTTAAATAATTTTGTTAAAAGAATTTTAACTTTTTTTTTATTTGATTAGTTTCCCCCTTAACAGTCATCTCCCTTTTTGAGCATAGATGTGAAAATGCACGATCCAAACTTAAATGGTTGTAATTCATTAATACTTTACAATACAGACCCAAAGTTGGAATATTGCTGAAGTGAAAGCACTTCGAAAAAAGAAAGTGTAAAAAGATATAGAAGTTTACGTTTACAGTAACGCAAATGTACTGAACTATGTATTGTACTGTACTTTTTCCTCTAAAATGCTATAAAGTCAAAGCCATATATCTAACCAAGTTGTGTACCAAATTCGAAGCCAAAAATAGCCATCCACATTCCATTGATTTTAATGCGTTCTCTTGTAACAACTTAAAAACTTTCTGCCACAATATCACTTCTATCACAAAACAGACACCAAATATAACATTGAGTCTCAGACCTTTCTGACGATATGTGTTTTGTCAAGAGTAGAAAAAGTTGATTATAAAATAGTGCAGTAAATATTGTAATGAGAAACGACACCGCCCACTAGGGGGAGGAGCCTGCTAAAAGGATTTTATAATTTACCGTTTTCCTGGTAATGCAATGCCCAATTTCAAAATGGATTTCTCAGGATGAATTTTGAGTGATTAAGCTTTCGAATGATACCTGATGATTACTAAACTATGTGAGCGGGAAAAAAGGCAATAAAAAAGAACAAGAAGTGAATAAGTTGAAGGTTTTCCATATAATATTTATATTTTATTTCAATTAAATTATTTGTAATAGTTTTAGTTAACAATAACAACACTGTTGCCAACATCCATACAACATCTGTTTCTGCAAGGCTGTCTTTATTGGTTATTAGTTCCTCAACCATGAAGTGACAGTCATCGCTCTCTAGGGCAGAAATAAAGCAAAACGCCATCAGATACACATTTACAGGCCTCCCTGTGTGTATTTTTATGCACATATTTGCTTGGCATGGCTGTGGTTGTTATGGCAGGGAGAACAGGACTGTCTACCCCACACGCATCGCTCGAGAGGCCTTCTGGAAACACTGCAGTAAAATTAATGAGCGGAGGGTCTGACACCGAATTATAGAGGGTAGGTAGTAGTGTGGATGTCTCAGGCAGCGCACAGACACTTAATTTTCCTGCAAAGAGACATGCCTTCAGCACGGAGCCCTCTCTCTTTCTCTCCACCACACACAGAAACAAACACGATATATCATCAAACTGCTTCCACTTCAGCAGCAT